ATAAATTTAACTTTTCATAAATCTTGTGCTGTTTCGGCCACCCTGGTGCTTTTAACGTCTTAAGGGTCATTCCAAATCAACTCATCCAGCGAAAATACTCCATTAATAGAAACTTGCTGATATTCACATATTGTGCAGTTATTACAGGGACAAGGAAAAAAAACGACCAGAAATGAATAAAAAAGACATTTAATAAATGTATCTCATCAATAAAGCTCTATGAAATCGACAAAAAGGAGGAGAAAATGCACGAAAGCACGAAAACTGAAATAAGATGTTTGTGGTTCATTTTCACACGCCAAACAAAACTGTAAAGTCTGCCAAAGAGCCATGCAGTCGTGTGAACAAGCCGCTGTGAATAAGGGTTGAAACTAACACCTTATACATCGAAAACACATTTTATCAAGAAAAACAATTTTATAGACATTTCTTTACATCTGTAGAAGTCACAGTGAAACAGTCGATTTGAGGGGGTACCTTTTATAAATTTTACTAAATGGTATAAAATGTGTATATTTTCACCACTATTTTGTATTTCTTTAACCATTAATTATGTTAGACACGGTATCCGTAATAAAAAGCACTATTTCTAACAGTTCACAGCTGTGAGGTGATCATTTTTGATAATATAAGTACATGGAAATGGGGGTGGGACAACATTTTTGACCAATTTTGTATATATATATATATATATATATATATATATATATATATAGTTTTTTTTTGTAAAAAAATAAAAGCATTTAAGAAAAACAGTGACAACTTAGCAAAAGGTCAGGTAGTGTCTTTAATTCATCTTTCAAATTCGAAGCAAATAACAACGGAAAGGAAGCACAACTAAAAGAACAATAACCTAGGATAATCAACTAACAATAACCTAGGATAATCATTTTAATGATGCCGTCATTACAGTTAACATATAAAAATGCACACGTGGAATTTATTTAAAAAAACATTTTACCAAAAAGTCAATTATTGCTTAATCTATTTGAATACAAACAAATAGTAATAGAGTCATTGCTAATAGAACAATAACTAAATGATGCATAACTTACTATTAGCTGGGATAATGATTTGTTGTTATGACAGTTAACACACCAAAAAATACACACATGGGTATTATTGAAAAAAAACCTGGGATTGGCTGATTAAGAACTCTGGAGGGGATTTTTCTGAAACGTCACTCTGTACTGGTACCATGTGGCTCCTATTTCATGAATACCCATGCAACAGTGGATTAACCCTGTTTAATTTATGGTTCTGAAATATTCTGGGATAGACATGGTCGCGGGAAGTTTTTTAAAGTTGACTAATCACACTTTGCAAAAATATTTGTGTTAAACTATATTTAGCAGCAGCGTTTATTTACCAGAGCATATGTACCTCCTACAGGGTCTTACAATGTATATGTACCTATAACGGCAATGCCACCGAGAACCGATCCTGAACCTTATGCATGTGCCTATTCTACACGGACACCTGTAAGGTATCCAGGAGCAAGCTCGCTTCTGGCGTTTACTTCCTGAAAAATAATATAATATAATATAATCGAAACGATGGGTAATGGTGATGTTCCTAATGTCTTGTAGATTCTACATGTATGTAGAAAGTAAAAAGTGAATTTACTGCATGGTCATAGTTGTAAGTATTGAATCAGGAAATGACTAACATTTCAGAGATTTATATTTTGCGTACCTGCCGGGGTATGGGTGCTGGCTACATTGTTGCCGTTCTTCTGAGTAAGCCAATATGCCTCCAGATTCCTGCAGAATTCCTTCATCCTGGGACTAAGGAAGGACTTGTCCTTGATCGGGGAGGTGTTGACAACGAATTGCTTTTGTTCATTATCTTCATCTGATGTCGTATTTTCGACGGTGTTCTAAAAACATGACGGTATAGGTTAGGTTTAAGTTATAGTCATATCTTGCACATGTTTAAATGTCACTTTATATATTTAAACACAATTAAAAGTATTGTGTATGTTTAGATGTAAACACAGATTCAAAGTCCGAATTAATATGAAGTAAATCGCACCGGTTGTTCCAAAGCGTTGGCCACGTCCTTGCTGTCGGTCTCTTCAGATTTGTTCATTGGAGTCAAGTAACAAGCAAACTTGTCATTCATTTCCATCTTGTATACTACCAAACCCTGAAAGGAATGGAATATTCCCACAGGATATTTGGATTTTTAGCCGACAAAATTGATGGAATATATACATATCCAAGGAACTAACTTTATTGGCATTTAAAACTCATAAAAATTGAAAGGTAGTGAAAGGTAGTATAAGTAAAATATTCCGCCTTGATTAGCAATTTACACAATAACGTTTAAACCCCCTCTACCCACCCTCGAGTTGTCCATGGCAACGTGGAACTTCTCGTTGTTCACGTTGTACACGGTGATGTTGTCCTTTAGATCAACCTGAACCTTTTCGTCAACTTTTTTCCCTTGTTTGTCTGTTAAACGGAGATGGTACTCCTGAAGAAATAATAATAATCACATTAGATGATTATGGCGATGAGATCGTTAGTTTTAAATGCTCATGTTTCTTTGCATATTATTCCACCGCTTTCCTTTAAAACCAGATCGATACGTATTGCAAGTGAGATATTTCATTCGCGTGCTAAATTTAAGCTTCTTCTAAAGTGATCTGTTTGTGTCATAAATGTAAATTAGCATAATTCTCAAATATTCTATTATTATTATTATTATTATTATTAGTATTATTAGTGATACAGTATACCTACCTTCCACACGTCTTGTGCTGCCTTGTTAGAGATGTGAACTGCTCCCAACGTTCCACCGACAGCAACAGCGACAACAACAATGACAGCAACAGCAATAATAATGTACTTCTTATACGACGCCTTATTCTGAAATATAACAAATTAAAAGATAAATTGGAACAAAAATAAACTTGGAATATTATTGTTTATCTCATCGCCAACTGTGTTTGAAAGAAATTGATGCAACTATTTAAAAATATAATTTTATGAACATTTTGAAAAACGGTGCAAGTAATTGCAACAACTTATATTTTGCATTGAAGGTCTGGACGACAGACAAAAAATGACAATCTGACAATGGGATTCAGTCAGAATTTCCTCGTCTTTGTATCCATTATCATAAAAAATTACATTATCGAAGGCAGTCTAATTTTATCTAGTTTATCTAGTTTATCTATACTTGCAAAAATTACTAATTACATTCACCATTGCAAGCATGATAATTTTGCTAAAACATGAAAAGAAAATGAAAAACGCTGAATATTCACAACAAAAGCAAAGTAACTGACGTGACTCAACTGTTCAATTGTTTGTGGAATGACCCAAGTTAGAGAAAAAATTCCTGGATTAAACATCTTCAAAGTAGACGCACTTACCTCAGCGCCGTCACGTCCAGAGGACCCACCGTCTGTGATGACAGTCACCCCTGGCTCGGCAGACTTTTCACTGACAGTTGGCAGCATCTTGAAAGTATATCAAAATTGTTCTATCAGAGAGCAGCACTCAAGGCTTTACTTTTTCCGACCGATCGAGTTCGCCGTCTGCTGGGAGCTGGGCGTACCCTCTTTTTTAGCTGACATCACGGAGGGAGATCTTTGACAAACAGGTTTTCGATATCAAAGAAAAAACACTGTCTTCCAAGTTTTTAAGCAGAAATAAAACGCGCTTTCATATGTTGATGTGGTGGGAAAGTTTTCGACAACCAGGAAAAAATTGTAAAAAACCCTAAGCATTTTGTTAAGTATCTGATCAATGGTTGGGTGATTTTAATAAGTATTCACATGATACAAAAGGTGCAATAAACCAAATTCAACGCATAAATGAGATCTTTGACAAACAAGTTTTCCATACAAAAGACGGAGCAATGTCTGCCAAGTTCATAGGCAGAAATAAAAAGCGCTTTCATATGTTGATGAGGTGAGAAACTTTCCAAAAAAAAAAAAAAAAAAACGCACTGCTTTTAAGAACATGACAACAAGGAAGAAAAACCGTAAGTATTTTTTGAAGTATCTGACCAATCGTTAGGTAATTTGAACAACACAATACAAAACGTGTAAAATTCATTTCGAGAAAACTAGAAAAAATGTTTTAGTTAATTTGCTCTTGACGCCGATGCCAAATATATATTTAGCAAATAATCTGCTCTTTTACACGTGTTAATTGGGGGGGGGGGGG